TTATTATTATTATTATTATTATTAAGATATTTAAATTTAGTATCTGGAGCAGTGGAGTAGCGCAGTGACCCAGAACACACAGTTATAGTTGATTGGTTTGAGCTTGCTGGCTCCTGCACGAGGCAATCTGCATTGTGATTGGTTGCTATGGTTGTGGAGGGAGAGTTTCCCTTTTCCCCCGCCATTTTCTTCTGGGTGCCCTATATGCTCTGTGGTTTTATCTCATGATGCTCCTGGTTGCCTGCCTATCTTGTTTGCTGTAAATAGAGATGTAAAATATATTTATTTATATAAAACTGCAAGTTCGTGTTAGTGCCTCTGACTTCATTTGGACACTTGCTGTGCAGTTCTCTTACAGTATATATTAGTAGTCTGTATTAGAGCAGAGGGAGTCATTCCTATGTACATCTTATCCACAAAAATTGTGGAACCAATAGAGGTGCTAAGTTGCATAGCAAACAGCCATATAATTTTCAAGGTTTCCAGAGATGCTACTCCTCAGATAACTGGACATAAGACCTATGTAAAGTTCAGCTCTAGGTAATAGATGGGTCTGCAGCTAGTGTACTGACCTTCCTGTTATGTAGTAGCTTCCTTGCCTGAGCTGCTGAACACCCTGGTTGGACTGGCAGTGGAGTTTCCCAAACTTAAAGTATTGGGAGACAAACAGCTTTGTGAACATCATTGTAACCAAGGACCTGAGCCAAGTCACCCAGGATCTAACATACAGTATGGGCCATATGTTGGATTTGGTTTTTCTTATAGGGCAGTGATGTCATGATCTGGACTTGAGGGATATTTAGATTAAAATTTAACTATTGAAAGTCAGTGGAATGTCCCTTTCTCGTCCAACTTTAAACTCCAAGGGAATAATTAATTTTATTCTTGGGGGTGATAAATGACACACAAATCCATGTATCATTTTCAAGATCACGGCACTGTAAAGTTTGAAAACCGCAACCTAAATCAAAGGATGCTATCAGAAATGTTATCCCAGCCTATGACGTTACATGCTTCAGAATAATCCATAACAAGAGCTAAGAGAATTGAACAAATAACATGATGAAATATCAGATAAAACCTCAAAATATTAGGGACAGAAAGAGCAAAAGGGATGAAGATTTAGTTTAAGTTTCTAACCACCCTGTGGGCTGCCAGACCTAAATGGGAACTGAGAAGGAATGATAGCCTTTTATTTAATCTGTAATTACAGTTTGTTATATTCATGCCATTCTGTTGACTGTTTTAACTTTTAATCGTAACAACTTTGAAGACTATGTGAGAAAAAGAATCCCACAAATGAAAATATTTGAAATAGATACAAAGTTATAGAACATGCTGAGAAGAAAGTTTATATTCACAAGGGAGAAGATGGTCATTCTGGTGCCCTGTTTTCACTTATCATTGCTGGAAGGGTAGAAGTGAAGAACAAATCCTTTCTGTATGAGCCATTGTACAACAACAACAACAACTTCATGATTCTTCAATGAAACTGATTGCCAACTACTCCGTACAAAGAGAAATATATCATTTACTGTATTGTTAAACTATAATAGCATTTTGGACATTTGTTTTCCTAACACATCTGGAGGCATTACAGTGGGCAAAGCTGAATTGCTGAATTCACTAAAATGACAAGATACCCAACCACATCAAAAAGCAGAATACCATACATTTGCTTTCTTGTGGACTTGTGGCTGACTCCTCTAAAAAGTAGAATGATGAACTATTTTTGGTGCGATCAAATAGCACGATCATGTTTTTATCATTAACTTTGTCTTATTTTCCTCAACTGGCAGAGAATAAGTACGAACAGTTATTGAGCTATGTATACTTTTAAATTATATTTTCCTCCACTTTGGCCCAACTTCTCTCTAAAATTCAATTTAACATAACATTTAACATAAAATATTGCCTGTAGGTACATCTTAATGAAAGTTGTTGTTTTTGGTACAATGAAATTAAAGTGAGGGAATTGGTGGAAAGTTTTCTGAACATAGGAAATTATGGAATTTTAAGAAGTACAGAAAGACATTATGTAGTATATGGTCTGTTGCAAGGCATGAACATGAATGAATGTGAAAAGAATATATGTAACTTAGCATTCAATTTATCTCCCTATAAAATTCAAAGATCCCTATACAATATTCTCCCTGTATCAACGTCCCCCCTAGAGTCAGACATCACTGGACAGGGGAAATCTTTACCTTTTATCAGATTTATAGCTGTTTATTGTAGTTTATTATTTCAATTTTGAGACTGTCTAACCCCAGAGAAATTCTGGATGGCTTACAGATAAAAATCAAAAGAAAGCAAAATATATTGAGACAAAAAGAGAACTAATTTGCTTCAGAATTAAGTATTTTAACTTGAAAAAAATCCATCTCATTTGATATGTATATAAAGATGAAATAACTAGTCATTAATAGGCCGTGCTATTTAATGAACGTTCACTTATAGTTTTATCAATCAAGGTATCTATAAAATTGAATAAAAATATCAGAGAACTTGGAGTATTTTTTTATTCCTGTATGTCAACCAATGTCATGCTGTCATATTTATTACAAAAAATCCAAAGCAATAAAAACTCCTGATTAAAGCATTACTATCCTATTACTTATATTCTGAACCCCATTATTGGTAGAAACTGTTATTGTTTTATCATTTGAATCCATCAAGTAATTTAGTTGACATCTGTCCATTTCTCCTTGGCACATAACCAAAATGCTAAATATACTAAAGCATTGTCTAGACTAAGGATTTGCCTTCATATCTGCTATTAGGACAACTGTCTAGATTTGCACTATAGCACGCATGCATATAAGTGCCACTGGCATTCGTATCAATCTTCACTCAATCAGGATAAGTTATGTCACATTAGAATGAGACAATGAAATTATGCTACTTAAAATAAAGCCTATTTTCAAATTAACAACTTTTCTTGAATGAGTTTAGAATTAAGGTGACATCTTAGTAACATGGAACTCTACAAATATAATACAAAAATAATACAAAAATAATACATATTTACTTGGTGTACAGAGTTCAGTCCCTATAATGTGAGTAATAAGAAAATTTATGCATAGTGCACCTTTCTCCAACCTAGTGCCCTAGATATATGATTACAACTCCCAAGATATCAGAATCAAAGCAAACTTTGGAGAAGGTGACAGACTGAGTTGATCTCACACAAAAAACCCCACCAATGTTAATCTAATCAGATTTGGAACTGTTTCAGCAATTTAGCTGATACGCTTCAATTCAAAGTAGACTATCAATCTGTAGGCAGCAATACAATTCAACAATATCTCATCAAGCAAATGAGAAATGACAGTGCATGTGGTTTATGTGGAACTTTAAATAATTCTCAATTATTACCACTCTCCAATAATCTGTAGATGAATTTGTGATTTTACAGAATAGCAGGTTTGAGTTCCAACATTTTTATTTTGAAATTTATATTCAATACTGTCTTGATTGTGCTGTGAGGGTAAAGGAAAATAGAACAGTCTTTCCAATGGTACAATTCTCTGAATATCTTATTAAATTAAATGGATTGAGAAAATTATGTTTGCCTTACAGGAAGAGGTTAGAGAAGTGATAATAATTCAACCTAGCCCCTAGAGCTCCTGGTTCTAGAGGATTGTGAAACCATTAAAACAAGGAACTTCTAGATCTTTCGAAAACATTATCCTTCTTACATCCCAGAGTTCTGAAGGAGCTGACAGATGTTATCTCAGAACCGTTATATCATATCTTTAAAAAATCTTGGAGCACTGGGGAACTACCAGAGGATTGGAGAAGAGCTGATGTGGTTCCCATCTTCAAAAAAGGAAAAAAACAACAGACCCAGGAAACTACAGACCAATCAGCCTGACATCAATACCTGGAAA